TTAGTTTGTGCTTCCACTGCTAGACTTTATTTTTTCAAAGATCTCATTTTTAATACTTATTTAAGGTTTATAGAATTGAAAAGTAAAAGAGCCTCTAATGATCGCTTAATTCATTTTCCCAAAGTGTGTGTGCCTACCCCTGGGTGTAAATGGGATGAATTTTAGATAAAACACAATCAAGCATTTTTAATAGCTATATGTTTATTTTAGTATATGTTAGAAAAAAATATCCTTAGCATAGCATACCCATGATTCATGGACTTTATGATGAGATTAAAGTCAATTTTCAGATTTTAAAAGTCAGTTTAAAGAAAAATATTAACAGCACAGGTGATACATGACTGAGGTTTGGGAAATAGTAATCTAAACCAACATCTATATATTGTATAAATGAGAAAACAAAGGCCTCCCCCACATTCAATGACCTTTCCAAGGAATATAACTAATATACCACAGAGCTAAAAATAGAACTCATGTTTGCTCAATACATTACAATGTTTATTTTGCCATAAAAGGCTGCTGCTTCTTGTTGAAAGTTGAAGAAGAAAATTGTCTTAGTATGGCATTGTACTTTAAATCTTCATTGTTCATTGTGGTGGCCACATGTGGCTATTTATATTAAAATTAAAATTTGAACTAGTCACATTTCTAGTGTTCAGTAGCCATGTGGCAACAAGTATGTAGAATATTTCTATCATTGCAGAAAATTCTTTTGGACAGTGCTGCTCTAAGCTATTACTTAGGAACATGATTCATAATGCTTTAAGTTTTCTGCCCTTCAAAGGGATGTTACTTATTAATTTGCTCACTGCACTGAAGTTGATATAACCCTGAAGTTAAACTGAACGTACTAGTTTAACAATGCAATTAAGATAACTGATCATAGGAAATAAAGCCAGGATGGGATTCTCAAAGATTCCTGCCAGTTCATTTTATTAGAGAAAGTGGTTGCTCTTCTTTCTCCCTTTTTAACAATAAATATTTTCTTGAATTCATAGCAGATAGAGAGAAGAAATACAAATATATTGAAAAAGAGGGTTCTGGTATAGAAAATTTCCTGACTTTTTGAAAGTTTATTCAACTTAAGAATTATATTTTGTTAATATTTTAAAACTTTTTATTTTTAACATTTTCAGTGAATGGACCTGACTGGACTCTTTGACCACATCAATAAACATGAGCGGTACCAAACCTGATATTTTGTGGGCACCACACCAGGTTGATAGATTTGTTGTATGTGACTCAGAACTAAGTCTTTATCATGTGGAATCTACTGTGAATTCAGAACTCAAAGCTGGATCTTTACGTTTATCTGAAGACTCTGCGGCTACATTACTGTCAATAAATTCAGATACACCCTATATGAAATGCGTTGCCTGGTATCTCAATTATGATCCTGAATGTCTCCTAGCAGTTGGACAAGCAAATGGCCGAGTTGTACTTACAAGTCTTGGTCAAGATCATAACTCAAAATTCAAAGATTTGATAGGAAAAGAATTTGTTCCAAAACATGCACGACAGTGCAATACCCTTGCATGGAATCCTCTGGATAGTAACTGGCTTGCTGCTGGCCTAGATAAACACAGAGCTGACTTTTCAGTGCTAATATGGGATATCTGTAGCAAATATACTCCTGATATAGTTCCCATGGAAAAAGTGAGACTTTCAGCAGGTGAAACTGAAACAACATTGTTAGTAACAAAACCACTTTATGAATTAGGACAGAATGATGCTTGTCTCTCTCTTTGTTGGCTTCCACGAGACCAGAAACTTCTCCTTGCTGGTATGCATCGTAACCTAGCCATATTTGATCTTCGGAATACAAGCCAAAAGATGTTTGTAAATACAAAAGCTGTTCAGGGGGTAACAGTAGACCCATACTTCCATGATCGTGTTGCTTCCTTCTATGAAGGTCAGGTTGCAATATGGGATCTTAGAAAATTTGAGAAGCCAGTTTTGACATTGACCGAACAACCAAAACCCTTAACAAAAGTAGCATGGTGTCCAACCAGGACTGGTCTACTTGCCACTTTAACAAGGGATAGTAATATTATTAGATTGTATGATATGCAGCATACACCCACTCCCATTGGAGATGAAACTGAACCCACAATAATTGAAAGAAGTGTGCAACCTTGTGACAATTACATTGCTTCCTTTGCATGGCATCCAACAAGTCAAAATCGAATGATAGTAGTAACTCCCAACCGAACAATGTCTGACTTCACTGTTTTTGAAAGAATATCTCTTGCTTGGAGCCCAATTACATCTTTAATGTGGGCTTGTGGTCGTCATTTGTATGAATGTGCAGAAGAAGAAAATGATAATTCTTTGGAAAAAGATATAGCAACAAAGATGCGCCTTCGGGCTTTGTCAAGGTATGGACTTGATACAGAGCAGGTGTGGAGAAACCACGTTTTAGCTGGAAATGATGATCCACAGCTCAAGTCACTCTGGTATACTCTGCACTATATCCTTTGCATTGTTAATTTTGTGAGGTGAATCAGGTAGACATGTTCTTAAAGTTTGCTGAAAGGTCAGTCTAAATACGCTGAATGTTTTATATACAAATACAAGTTCCATAATACTAAAACTATGAAGTAAAATTGTTTAAAACTCTTGAACTTAAAATACAGCTTTGTAGATTGTATAAGAGGAGGAAAAGTGTATTTCTGCAGTAGAGTAGAACCACCTTATTTGCACTGATGCCTATGAATTGGCTCCAAATCAAATGTAGCTTTTAAATATTTTATTATGCATCATCACTAGTATTTCCTATGCATTTAAATACTTATGAAGCAATACACAGAAGACATGGATCAGAAATCTCCAGGCAACAAAGGATCATTGGTTTATGCAGGAATTAAATCAATTGTAAAATCATCTTTGGGTAAGAAAATTTCATTTTATTTTCTCCAATATGTTTATAACTTTTGTGCTCTTATTTTTGTCCCCCATCATTTGGTGGAAATTACCTATTTATTTATTTCAAGATTGTGGACATAAATATCCTTTTTCTTTTTTTGGTTTTCTGATTAGATATTTTAGTGAATTTTTGTGTTAAATGCATAATTGCATTTCTACCCAAAACTCTTTTTGCAGTGAGTCTTGGTTCTTTGAAGTGATGTTGACTTTTTTAAATCATTCATTTATTCAGTGTTATTTTTTTGAAGGTCTAATTTGAGAGGTTTTTTACCAGATGATTTATATTATAAGATGCTGATAGTTCAGATTTTATCACAGCAGTTTGCTTTTTAAACACTACATTAAAAGATCTCTAGTTGAAGAAGACCCCTTTTTATTTTGCTGCCCAAATACTTTCTTAGAGCCATCTAATGGCAAGGACTATAACTGTGATGTGAAGTATGGAGTAACCTGAAGGAGCCATACCTGAAATAGTTCTTGATGAATTAGTGAATGAATTGATTAATGTACACTTGAAATTGATAAACTAAGAATAAAACAGTGACAAAAACCAAATTTATTTTTCACTCACGGGTTTAAACAGTTCTTATTCTTTTTATTGTAATTGAATTTTGAATTATAGTTACAGGGTGAGTATCCCTTATCCAAAATGGCTTGGGACCAGAAGTGTTTCAGTTTTCAGAGTTTTTCAGATTTTGAAATATTTGCACTATATATTTACAGATTGAGCATCCCTAATTCAAAATGTTCCTATCAGCATTTCCTTTGAGCATCACTGGTGCTTAAAAACTTTCAGATTTTGAAGCATTTCAGAATTTGGGTTTTCAGATTTGGGATGCTCATCCTATATCTCTGTGACCTAGGATTTGTTCCCTAGCTTTTGGTAGTCAAATTTGGGCCCAAGTCAAGCTG